GGAGAGTTGCATAACGTTTATACTAAACTATTTACTTACTAGTCAACTAACCAAAAATTTAACGATGAGCACAAACCCTATCATGTTACTCACATTTCAGTTGCATTCCGTTAATGCTTGTTGCATTTTATTTGAATTGTCATGTTGATAACCAGTACAACCATTTCTAAAAAGACTTACATTTTTTTTTATATTTCTTATACTTGTATAGAATTTCTAGATATATCTTCACTGGTGCCCAAACAACATGAATTTAAGCATCCTACGAGCTTGGCATCTCAGTCCTACCTTTTTACTGTCAAAACAGTTAAATGTAACTGCTTCTTCTACTCCAACAGCTTCTTCTATCACACTTCCCGACAGTGGAACTCCCTTCCTCTTACTTGCTTCCCTGATAACTATAATCTTCAATATTTTAAATGTAATGTCAATCAACATCTTCCAATGCCTTGATCTTCATCCCTTGTCCTTCTCTTTATCCTTTCCTCAAACACCCCTTTTTTCTCTCTTTCACTTGTGCTAGTGGCACTCTTGCTTTACTTGGGGTGAAAATGCTTAAAAAAAAAACTTTTGAATAAGACAGACATTTTTTGAATTTAAATATTATTAAACCTTTCACTGATACACCTAATTTACATAAGCTACTGACCATATAAATATGGGTTGGTACCGGAAGACGGGGAAGATAGTAGAGATTAAGAAATTGAATCCAGAGACTCTTGACTGCGATTTTAGTAACCCATTATGCAGAACAGTCTTCCCAAGAATATACCAAACTAACTGTAAATATTAAACCTATTCTTTGTTTCAATTATTTTGTTAACGTACTTTTGTGTTTATTATTCCATCTTATTTAAAAAAATTTTGAATTCAACACTTATTAAACACTGTTTATTTTCTCTCTCTTTTCTTAAATCCCATACTTCTGTAAATGTTGCAATAATAATAATAATAATAATAATAATAATAAAAACAGCAACAAAAATAATAATCATAGCAACAACAGCAACAACAATAATAATAATAATTGTGTAATAATTGTATTTGTCCCTCCCTTAATTCACAAGATCATTACTCCCTGTCTCATAAATAATAGACTATTCCATTTTGATTGCATATTAAGACAAGACATATGAGAGACACTACTTGGTTTCAGTAAAGAAAAAAAGAAAGATAGAAAGGTTTAACATATTTTTATATTGTTGGATGGCTTCGCTTTTCACTTCTGCTATGTCAAACGAAACGTCGCTATCACTTCCAAAAATATTCGAGACTTCATAGACGCTGGTACTAGTAGTAACACCTTCCAATAATATCCGCACTAGTAATACTTGTTCAGTCGTTCACTTTTGAACCGACTGCTCGGTTGAACTCTCTTCCTACGTACGGGAGGAAGCCGAAGGAGGCTACGCCGAAGGGCGGAGTCTCCTTCGGGGAGGTAAAACCGGCCCTGAACCCGTTTATACGGGTTCAATGGGCATATTTTTGGCAGAGCCCACGGGCTCGGAATGCCCACGTTAAAAAGGCCTTGTGCCACATGACACCCTCGTGGGGGGTGGGGGGCGACTCAATATCGTAATACGTGTTCAAGTAGAAATCGCCAAATAGTATAATGATCAGAAGAGAATTGTAATCTGTACAGTAGTAGAGTAGAGAGAGTTAACGTATAGCAAGAGTGGATAGACAAGAAGTGTGAACAGTGATCATTACGCTACTTTGTATTTATTCACTTCCTTTATTATTACGTGATCTACTTAATAATGGAATCACCCGTGTTACTCACTGGCGATCTAGTTTCAAACTACAGTGTCGGCAGCGATACTTAATCTTATACAACACATCTCCTGCTAATACCATATAAATAATGGACTATTCCCTTTTGATGCGTAAGAAGACAAAAGACATATCAAAGACAGTACTTCAGTGAGAAAATGAAAGAAAGAAAGGGAGATAGAAGTGTTTATCGGCTGTTTTAGTGAAATGGAAAAAAGTTACAAATTTCAAATCTTTTCATTTGTACCCCCTTACTTCTTAAAATAACAACCAGCATTCATATTTATGATTGTTATTGCAATATTTTGTTAAAGTTTTTAAACTCAAAAATTTAACGACGTGATAGGGGAATTTCTAAAAAAATGTTCACTGGTTAAAACTAGTGATAATAATTATCGTTGAGTGTCGATAGATAAATACAATGTGGGCAGTAAGTAATGTTCCCCTAGGAGCGCTGTGATCACTCAAATTGTCAGTAAGTGTTCCGTTATGTGGTGGGGATGCTATGATTTTAACAGGGCAGTAAAATGATTGTGGCAACTCATGACATTTTATATACACAATTGTTTATCCTATTTGTCTCTATATTTTCATTTTCCTGTGTATTGTAAAACTTGTATTTCGCATGTATTGTAAAACATGTATTTCGCATGTATTGTAAAACATGTATTTTGCTTGTATTGTAAAACATGTATTTTACATGTATTATAAAACATGTATTTTGCATGTATTGTAAAACATGTATTTTCCATGCATTGTAAAACATGTATTTTCCATGTATTGTAAAACATGTATTTCGCATGTACTGTAAAACATGTATTTTGCATGTATTGTAAAACATGTATTTCACATGTATTGTAAAACATGTATTGTGCATGTATTGTAAAACACGTATTTTGCATGTATTGTAAGACATGTATTTCGCATGTATTGTAAAACATGTATTTTGCATGTATTGTAAAACATGTATTTTGCATGTATTGTAAAACATCTATTTCACATGTATTGTAAAACATGTATTTTGCATGTATTGTAAAACATGTATTTTGCATGTACTGTAAAACATGTATTTTGCATGTATTGTAAAACATGTATTTCACATGTATTGTAAAACATGTATTGTGCATGTATTGTAAAACACGTATTTTGCATGTATTGTAAGACATGTATTTCACATGTATTGTAAAACATGTATTTTGCATGTATTGTAAATCATTTAGATTTGATTGCAACATGTGCACTGAGAAAAAAAACCTGCAAGCTAAAGTCCGGCAGTTTCTGTGGTCTGAATTGGAACTAGCATTGATCTTATGGAATAAAGTGTAAACTTGTGACATTACTTCTGTTTCATTAACTCTGCTCCATTTACCTGTGCAATTTTAATCTATGTAGTGACAGTGGGTGGGGAAGAAACATCAAATTAAAGTCGTCTTTAAAATTGGCTAGGTTAATATAAGCAAAAAAGAAGAAACCAGAGTGATTTGCAATTGAATGATAAAACGGTGATGTCTTCGTTTATCCTCAACTATATATATTTTTTAGTGAGTTGTGTTGAATGGATGTCGGCCCAGAATGAGAAATTGGAGAGCTGAGTTCGAATTCCTGTCAAATTCATTACATTCACTTACATGCAAATACTCTTGGGAAAGGTATGAATTCATCTCTTCTTCCTCTAGCTATGGGTTAAATAGCAGGGCAGATTGGGTTCTGTAGCATTTGTTGGCAACCAGTCTACCAGAAAAAGTATTGGCAACCTAAATTTTCAAACGCTCACTTCCAAACTGCCTTGAGCCAGCCTGGAAGAGTAGACTCATAAAATTAATAGGATAATAATATCTCATGCTGATGTACAGTCTGCAACATTGCGGTGTAAGCATTTGCTTATTATACCCATTTTATGCAAGGGAGATAACTATTAAATGTATTTACCATACCAAATTCAAAATGAATATATTGATAAAAAACAGTGCATTTATTTTTTTTCCAGGGGCCAGTGTTCTAATGTGGAGGGGTGGGGCTTGCTGATGACATAGTTTATACATATAAAAGATCTTGAAAAAAATAAATTAGATTTAGATTGATTTGTTTTTTATGACTTATCAACCTTTTGCAGGTTATTTAAAGGCAGAAAATATATTTTTGGAAGAAGTTTTGGAAATAATGATGAATTTACTACAATGGCTGGGTCTGGGGAGAAGAGATGGGTTCATGCCTTTCCTGTGTGTAAGTGAATATAATGAACCTGACTGGAATTGGAACTTGGATCACTCATTTCCAATTGCCATTATAATAGCTATTTGGATTAAAGCATTAGTTCATGAATCCGGTGACGAAGTAATTGTGAGTTCAATCCCTGGGCTGAGCAGCGTGTACTTGGACTCAGTGTAAACAAGGCAAGCAATAACTGAGAAGTACTAAAAATAAAAACTAAATGGGATATCCCTAGACATGCGCAGTGGAACGATAACAGTCTACTCCTGCAGATTGAATGAAGGGTTCGGTTTTGAATTGCCTGCAGCCAGTGGTGCCATCCTACCAATTCGCACGACACTGATTCTTAAAATTATAAAGATTTAACGAACCAGTTGTTGGATTATCCGAAAATAATCTTATATATTAATAGCCGATGGTCTAGATAAAGTGTTAGTTACGCTACGCTCACGCACATACTTAGTAAAACTCTAATTAGATACATGCCCCCTCCTATTTTGAAGTTAAAAATCTAGCAAATCTTCTAGTAAATAAATTTGATAGGTCTTCTTCCATTGGATCTTTGGGACTGCAGTGATTCGCTTAGAATGTGGCTAAGAAAACCGTAACTCAGCTGATGACACTAGAGTCAAAAAGCATCCGACTTCTGAACAGAAATATTAAGAGAACATTATTTTTGATAATTACCTGGATCAATATGCACCTGATGAAGGTCAGGGGGCACAATGGCCAAAATCTTATGATAGCAACAACCAAGATGAGGATAATAGTATGAATATAAATAATGTAAATAACACTATCATGCGTCTTTGATATCAGACTAACACAATGTAATCAAATGTATGAATTCTAATCTAATAAAAAAGAAGACTTTAAGAGAGATATGGTGGTCAGTTTTCTGACTTTTAAATATCAATAAAGATGTCAGTATTTTATTACGTTTTCACGTCCAATAAACAGCTTTCGAGATTTTGTTCTGAGATGCAAAACTGTTTTTTTAAAATTAGAATCAAGATATGTCTATTTGGCTAATTTATATCTATCTATCTATCTATCTATCTATCTATCTATCTATCTATCTATCTATCTATCACACTGGCAGTCTGTTCATCTATTTCAATCTGTTATCTAACTACTTCAGTTGGTTCGTATATCTATTTCACACTGTTCCTATCTATCTATCTATCTATCTATCTATCTATCTATCTATCTATTACAATCTGCCCATTATCTATCTATCTATCTATCTATCTATCTATCTATCACACTGGCAGTCTGTTCATCTATTTCAATCTGTTATCTAACTACTTCAGTTGGTTCGTATATCTATTTCACACTGTTCCTATCTATCTATCTATCTATCTATCTATCTATCTATCTATCTATCTATTACAATCTGCCCATTATCTATCTATCTATCTATCTCTATCTATCTATCTATCTATCACACTGGCAGTCTGTTCATCTATTTCAATCTGTTATCTAACTACTTCAGTTGGTTCGTATATCTATTTCACACTGTTCCTATCTATCTATCTATCTATCTATCTCTATCTATCTATCTATTACAATCTGCCCATTATCTATCTATTCATCTATCTATCTATCTATCTATCTGGCAGTCTGTTCATCTATTTCAATCTGTTATCTAACTACTTCAGTTGGTTCGTATATCTATTTCACACTGTTCCTATCTATCTATCTATCTATCTATCTATCTATCTATCTATCTATCTATCTATCTATCTATTACAATCTGCCCATTATCTATCTATCTATCTATCTATCTATCTATCTATCTATCTATCTATCTATCTATCTATCACACTGGCAGTCTGTTCATCTATTTCAATCTGTTATCTAACTACTTCAGTTGGTTCGTATATCTATTTCACACTGTTCCTATCTATCTATCTATCTATCTATCTATCTATCTATCTATCTATTACAATCTGCCCATTATCTATCTATCTATCTATCTATCTATCTATCTATCTATCTATCTATCACACTGGCAGTCTGTTCATCTATTTCAATCTGTTATCTAACTACTTCAGTTGGTTCGTATATCTATTTCACACTGTTCCTATCTATCTATCTATCTATCTATCTATCTATCTATCTATCTATCTATCTATCTATCTATCTATCTAACAATCTGCCCATTATCTATCTATCTATCTATCTAAAACTGGCAGTCTGTTCATCTATTTCAATCTGTTATCTAACTACTTCAGTTGGTTCCTATTTCACACTGTTCCTATCTATCTATCTATCTATCTATCTATCTATCTATCTATCTAAGGTTATTCATTATCTATTATAATTATTTTCTTTTTAAAAATATGGTTCCATCGCAACACAGAAATTTCTATGTTTCAAAACTGAAACTAAATTTGTAAATTTAATTATAAAAATTAAACTTAAAATCCATAGTCTTGTTTCAATGTCAGCCAATGCGAGGAATAACTTTCTAAGAAATTTACTTAATTTATACGCGCTGACAATATTAATATTTTGAGTTGTTAAGGTTAAGGAAAATTCAATCTATTTTGATTAGGGGTGGTTGGGTTTTAATTTCCCTATGTATCAGATGTATGTTACTTACAAAGTCAAGTTCAGTTTAGGTGGGGTGGGTGTGCCTACTCACAAACATAGACATCCGTTATCCAGCGTGTCATCTGGGTTTTCACTGACAAAAAATTTTGGCATTTTTATTTATCCGTTTAATTAATACTTTTATACACAAAGATTTTCTGAAAGGGTCATTTAAATATGAGTAAGTCATATTTTTAATATTTAAATTTTATTCTTACAGATTTAAAATACCATTCCTCCTTCTAATAACTAATAGACTATACAGTTTTTTTTTTTACAAATAAATATATTATAATTTAATTTTGTATTAAAAAAATATTAATTAATGATCAAGTATAAATATGTATGGTTCATCTTCTTTTTAATTTTTTTTTCCAAAATTAATTATTATTTAAGGAAAATGTTTGACAGTGCCTACGATAATAACTATTTCATTTCTTTGATTTAGTAAATTTTTATTTTTCAGAAATTTCTATCTATCTATGAAGAAAAATATACGGAAAAAACAAACAAAAATCCTAATATGCAATTATGCTGTTTTACTGTTAATATAATGTCAACGTCGGACGTTTCGGTCTAGCAGACCATCTTCAGGACATATTCATGAAACATAATTAACATTAGACTATATTTAATTCAACATGAAAAGACGATGGACATAAGAGTAAGACTAATCAAAACAGACATCTATCTATCTATCTATCTATCTATCTATCTATCTATCTATCTATGTCAGGACAAGAAAATACTTGTTTGGATGCAAGAAAAAATGAATAAAAAATTTAATTGCAGTAGCTTTTCAGTCATTTTTAATGTAACTTGTATAAATGACGGATTGCTACCCAAATACAAAGTGATATATGACATATGTATTCAAGTATAATGCAAGTTTTTAGGATCAGTTTTTATACGCAAAGAAAATAAGGTTGCACTATACACAGGTAATTTTTTGAAGAGTTTAAAAATCATGCAAAAGATTCAGTGCTCACAGTATACATCATGTGGGCTTATTCACAAGCACGCGTATATATATATATATATATATATATATATATATCCTTCCAACCTAGCATATATATCATCCTACCATGAACACAAGTGCCAATATCTTCTCAGATGGTATCATGATAGAAGGTCCGTTTACCATCAGGTGTAATCACACAGTTTCTTTGTGAATGGAATGAATTCAGCAGCGAAGGTTATGGATTCTAAGATAATAAAGCAAAAGGGAGGTTTTTTTTGTCCATTTAGACAGCGAAAAGGTATTTTTCAACATAGTCTCCTTCCTTCCACGAAGCCGAACCGCTTCTTCATAGATTGCACAGAGTGAGTATTATACAAGGAAAATTTCATGTTTTGTCATGCTAACAAGTTAAATAAATTTTATTTTCTGGTGACGCCAGATCATTAAAGAAACATGTAAAAGTTTTTTTTTAATCAATTCGCCCGAAACAAGACGATAATGCCAATAAGACAGAAAGGGTTAGTGGGAGTAAAAGAGAATGAAAAGTCTTTAGAAGGAACCAAAAACAATAACCTAAATAAGAAACAAGGGATAAACCTCTTCTCCTGTTCAAAAGAACGGGGAGGAGCAAAAAAAAAAATCATCAATTGTTGTATATATTTCCCATATCTTCAGATATGGATCCAATTTGACACATACCAGAAGAATTTTGTAGGTTTTAGTATACTTGTAATTTTGTCTTAAATATAAGTTGCTAGAAAATTGATGGTCAACTTTTATTTTATAAACGAATAAAAAGTAAGACTTTATGCCCCAACACTTTAACTTCCAAAAAGAAGTAGCGATTTGTTTTTAAATTTCCTGAATAAATTATTTTTATCGCAAGTCATCTACCATCGCCTGAAGAAGACTATCATATTATTGAAACATGAAAGCTTTTGTGTAGCGATGTTAATTTTTTTTTATTGTAATCTATTATAATAAAAATATTATAATATTTGGCTCTACTTTGTATTGAGCATTTTTTTAAAAGTATATGCTACAATCTGTGGATTTTTACTCCATCTATTTCTTATCTTTTTGGACACACACACGCACACACACACACACACACAAACACACACACACACACACACACACACACACACATATATATATATATATATAAAATAAAAAATAATTATAATTTAGGCTCTACTATTGTATTGAGCACTGTTTTTTTGTTTTTTTTTAAATAAAAACAAAAATACTAAAGAACTTCGGATTATTTACCTAATGTGTTCTTTCCTATTTTTCTATATATATGCGCACACGCACGCACACACACACACACACATATATATAAAGTGGTGGACACAGAGGTTAACACTGAACTACAACAGTCTGTTTTAGGCCATGTATGTTGTGTTTTTGGCTTGACTATTTATATATGCTGGGTAATGGTGCATTATGGGTAGCAAATCTATTGTATTATCCCAATGCTTATAGGGTAGGTGGTAATGATTATATTTTAAATTATTCTAGAGGCTACTGAGTAGAAATAATGTAAATCCAAATGTGGTTATTTGTAAGTATTTTGTAGCGCTGTTTAGTAACTTTTTACTTGTTATTTATTATTGATTACTTAATTATTTGTTTCTGTCTATATTTCTGAGATGAGGTATTATGTACACTATTTAGATTATTCGGACTATTGTCCTCATCTTTGTCGCCATATTAATCCGATCCTTCAGTATCTGTCTATATTTCTGAGATGAGGTATTATGTACACTATTTACATTATTCGGACTATTCTCCTCATCTTTGTCGCCATATTTATTACAACATTTCGGCCGTTCAGTATCTGTCTATATTTCTGAGATGAGGTATTATGAACACTATTTACATTATTTGAACTATTGTCCTCATCTTTGTCGCCATGTTTATCACAACGTTTCGGTCGTTGTACGCTCCGGTCTTCTTCAGGTGGTTGGAATGTCGAACTGAACCATTTATTTTATTTGGGGTAGACTGTTCTAGTTCCACGTGCCATGTCTAATGGATGTCAGTTATCTCCTGTTATGGGCACTGGTAAAAAATGGTGCTGAAGACATTAGGTTTATAATACCCAGAAATTCACACACACAGATGTCCTGAAGCACAGTGGATAAAGACGTTGTTTAGATCCATTGACAGGACCCAATGAGTGTGAGTTCAATACCTGGTTAAGGCAGTGGAGAACTTTCAGAGGGGAATTAACAGGAGATAACTGACATCCATTAGACATGGCATGTGGAACTAGAACAGTGAGCGAAATAAAGCGTTCAGTTCGACATTCCAACTACCTGAAGAAGGCAAAAACGTTGTGACAAACATGGCGACAAAGATGTGGAGAATTTACTTGTATTTATATGTTCAGTCGGAGTTTGTTAATTTGTTTATTATTTAAATTTCTTATTTAATTTTGTCACATTTATTGCTAACTTCATTTATTTAAATTATTTTTGGGAGTTTGATTATCTAGTTTAGTTTAAAGTACTTTGTCTAAAATATGTAACACTAAAGTATTGGCTTTGTCTAAATCAATGATTCCCAACCGATTTTGGGACATGCATCACGCTCTCTCCTTTGTTATACGAGACACGCGAGTGTGGGGAGACGAGAAATACCCTGTATGCGAATTACCATGTCCCTGTTTGGTATTTCTAAAATTCTGGTGCCTCTGTTGTTATATTTTAATTCTTACATATTCAAAATTTTACTGAGAGGGTAATGTCCGGCCATAAAGTATAGTCAATCTTCTAATCTTCATTAGTAGAACTATTATGTGAAGAAATTATTGTTATTATTCAAAAACTGTAATTAACTTTCAAAGGTTTTGACAGTCCGTAAAAAAACAGAAAAGAGTTCCGTCTCAGAAGTAAGATTCGAACTCGGACTTCATGTTCAGAAATCGAACGTTCTAACCACTGGGCCACACACTCATATACTGCCGCATACACAACCCCCTTTCTTTCCAACCTGTACTCATCTCACCTGGTTTCCTGATCCAAATCACATGCCTAGAGACATCTCCACCCACCCAGATATACTCTGCCTGGATTTCACATCTAAACAATCCGTCTGACGGCCATTGATGTAGGCGGGCAGCCAGCCCCCACCCAGCCTCGGTCTCTTTCCTGCCTTTCTATCTTCTCCCACCGTCCTCCATCGCCCCACCCACCTTCTCCTGCCAGCACCTTTTCTTAATTCCAAGCACTCCACCCCCGCTGCTGCAACTGTGGGTAGTTAAATGGGTCATCAAGACGTGGCATCTTCAGTGTCGCTTTCATTTGTCCCCAGAGGAAAAAGAAATGTAAGGAGGGAAGGAACAAGGGGGTGAAGTTTGCAGGGAGGTGTGGGGGGTAATGTTGACAGCTGGTAAAAAAAAAAATCCCCCCTATGCCGCCACACAAAAGCAAGCACACGTAAAGTTTCTCAAACGTATACATACATATATACTTTTTTGTAAGTACATACACACGCATTTACGATTTATAAACCTCACATTGGGTATGACACAAGGCTACGATAGTTCGGCTTTGGGTTGTGCTAAACTTAGTATCTATCTTTTTTCAATAATGTGTACAAGACCCAAGAGCCACTCGAGGAAGAGAAATACAGAGCAAGAAGCACAGTTGGATTTTTTCTGTTAACTCACCCCAAAATATTAATTCACTCCAAAATAAAAAGAATTTATAATTATTAAAATTCACACCAGTCAGACAGTTATGTGCCATGCGTGATACACGCTTAGGCGATTATGTATCTTTCGATACATGACTGACGAGGCAGATTTTTTTCCCCGCTGTAGGTTGAGGTGCCATTTCTTTCTGCAGTAGACCAATTGGTATCTAAAGCTATAGAACCCGGTCTGTCCTGCTATTTACCCATAGCTGGGAGGAGAAGAAGAGGAATCCTACCTTTTCCCAATTTTTTTCCTTACGTCTCCAAAGGAGATCACATAAATAAGAGTCTGTCATACTGCGATGAGTCCCTAATATAGACTTTATTTTGGTTTTCCACTAGGTACTTTCGATTGTTTGCGTGTGAGCTGATATTTCTGGCTTAACGAAATTTATACTGTGATTGACAGTCAGATAAATTTGCGATCATCCTTCAAAGGTGTATATACATTCAAACAATCCGACATAATCGTAAAAGAAATTACGAAAAGAACAAATTTAAATTTAAAATTTATAATTTCTTGGGGCAAATTAATATTTGCGATAATTTTACATTGTTTGGGGTGAAAAGATCCGTACAATTTATGGGGATATATCAGGAAGTTAACGGTTAATCCTAGACGTTAGGTTAAGATTGCAGTGATCGGGGAAGTATCCTCATGGGAGCCGGTACCACAAAGCAGCGTTTCGTGGGAAGAAGCTGGTCGAGTGTAACTTAGATCTCACCAATGAAATACGAAGGGAATGAAGGAGGTTCGCTACAAGGTGTGTGGTATGGCGGGTCTTGGCCGTAAAGTTTAGGACGGGTGGAACTAAGGAATGTAGTTCGTCTGAGCACTTTCTATGGAAATGGCGATAGAGCGGCGACACCCTTGCGATGTTTCGTTTGTGGGAAAGTGGTTGTAGGGTGGAAAATAATTCGGCACCCACAAGGACACGGAAACGCTTCTATCTATCTATCTATCTATCTATCTATTGATCTCTTTATATATATATATATGTTTATCATCTACCTGTCTTTATCACTTAACGCTTAATCTATCTATCTATCTATCTATCTATCTATCTATCTATCTATCTATCTGTCTCTTTACATCTATTTATCATCAATCTCTTTATATCTCTTTATGATCTATCTATCTATCTATCTATCTATCTATCTATCACACACACACACACACACACATATATATATATACATGCTTATCATCTATATCTTCATCACTTAATATTCTATCTATCTATCTATCTATCTATCTATCTATCTATCTATCTGTCTATCTATCTATCTATCACACACACACACACACATATATATATATACATGCTTATCATCTATATCTTTATCACATAATACTCTATCTATCTATCTATCTATCTATCTATCTATCTACATCTCTTTATGATCTATTTTTTTTTCCCCCTTTTTTTTTAAGGGGGGAAATTTTGGGTTTTGGCCTTTAAAAAGGGAAAAAAAAAGGGGGGGAAAAAACCTTTTTTTTTTTTTCCCCCCCTTTTTTGGGGGGGCCCGGGTTTCCCAAAAAATTTAAAAAACCCAAAATTTTTTTTTTTCCCCCCCAAAAATTTAAAAAAAAAGGGGGTTTCCTCCTTAAAGGGAAATTTTTTAAAACGGCCCTTTTTTTTCCCCCCCCCCCTTTTTAAAAAAAAATTACTTTTGGGGGGGTTTTCAAAAAACCCCCTTTTTTTTTTGGGCCCCCCCTTTTTTTTAAAAAAAATTTTTAAAAAATTTCCCAAGGGGGCCCTTTTTTTTTTTTGGGGTTTTTCACTTTTGGGGGTTTCCAAAAACGGGGGGGGTTTTGTTTTTTTTTTAAAAAATTTTTTTTTCCCCCCTTTTTTTTCTTCGGGGGGGGGTTTTTTAAGGGAAAAAAAAAATTTCCCCCTTTTTTTTCCTTTTTTGGGGGGGGTTTTTTTTCCCCAAAAAGGGGGGGAAAAAAGGGGGGGGGTTTTTTTTTAAAGGGGGTTTTTTTTTTTAAAATTTTTTGGGGGGGTTTTTAAAAATTTTTTTTTTGGGGGGTTTTTTGGGTTTTTTAAAAAACCCCTTTTAAATTTTTAAAAGAAAAAAATTTTTTTTTTTTAAACCCTTTTTCCTTTTTAAAAAAAAAAAAAAAGGGGTTTTTTTAAGGAAAAACGGGGGAAAAAATTTTTTTCCCCAAAAATTTTTTTTGGGGTTTTTTTGGTTTTTCCCGGTTGGGAAAAAAAAACCCAAACCTTTAGGGAACCAAAAAAAATTTTTCCAAAAAGGGGGGGGGAAAAAAAAACCCCCCGGGGGGGGTTTTAAAAAAAATTGGGGCCCAAACCCGGGGAAAACCGGGCCAAAACCCCCCCGGGGAAAATTTTGGGGGGCCCCCCCCAAAAAACCGGGGGTTTTAAAAAAGGGGGGGGGCCCCGGGGCCTTTTTTAAAAAGGCAATTTTTAAAAAAAAAAAAAGGGGGGGGGAAAAGGGGGGGAAAAACCCCCCTTTAAAAAAAGGGGGTTTAATTCAAAAAAATTTAACAAAAAAAAAATTAAAAATTTTCCCCTTTTAAAAAGGGAAAAAAAAAAAAATTTTAAAAAAGGGGGAAAAAACCCCAAAGGGGGGTTAAAAATTTCCCCTTAGTTTTGGAGGCCAAAAAAAAGGGGGGGGTTCTTTTAAAGGGGGGGGGAAAAAAGGGCCCTTTTCCCGGGTTTCTTTTTTTTAAAAAAAACCCGGGAAAAAACCCCCCCTTTTTTGGGGGGGAAAAGGGGGGCCCCCCCAAAAGCCGGGGCCAATTTTGGGGAAAATCTTTTTGAAAAATTTGGGGGGGGAAAAAAAGGGGGGGGAAAAAAATTTTTAAAAAAAGGGCAAAAAAAAAAAAAATTTTGGGGTTTGGGGAAAAAAAAAGGGGGGGGGGGGTTTTTTTTTTTCCCAAAAACAAAAAAAAACCTTTTAGGGAAGGGGAAAAAAAAAGGGCCTCTGGGGGCCTTGGAAAGGGAAAAAAAAATTCAAAAAAGGGGGGAAAGGGGGGGGGAAAAAAAAAAAGGGCCTTAAAGGGGGGGGGGAAAGGCCTTTTAAAAAAAGGGGGGGTTTTTGGGGGGGGGGAAAAAAAAAAATTTTTTTTGGGGGGGCCTTTGGGAAAAAAAAAAACCGGGGGGGGAAAAAAATTTTTAAAATTTTTTTAAAAAGGGGGGGGGGGGGGGGGTTTTTTTGGGAAAAAGGGAGTTAAATTCTTTTTAACCCTTACTTTTTTTTCCCCTTTAAATTTTTAAAAAAATTTTTCCCCCCCCTTGAAAAAAAAAATTTTTTAATTCCTTTAAAAAAAGGAAAAAACCCAAAAAAACCCCCCGGGGTTTAAAAAAAAAAAAAAAAAAAAAAAAAGGGGGAAAAAAAAAAATTTTTTTTTAAAAATTTATTTTTTACAAAATCACGATTTAAAATATCAATGATTTGTTTTTGCTCAGATTAAGTCCTGAAAAAACACATACAATATAAAATTCACTATTTTTATCCATAATGCTGAATGTGTTAAAATTATTCATCTTTTTAACAAGAGAAATCTCAAGATGATGTTAAAAATTGCCGCCAAAACATTGTTGATTTATTTAAGGTTATAATAAAATTTGTATTTTATATGAATACTATCTTATGAAAATTGAGATACACTAGAGTCGGTGGGTGGGGGGTATATCATAGATTCGGGACGTGGGTGAGCCCACGAGACTCTTGCACAAGCCATGGCAAATAGAACATTTGAACATTTTCGGCACCTTCTTCAACACGACGACATTCCTCTCTACCTGACGATAATTTGATAAAGATGCTATTCAAGAGCTTGAAGTTCTACCTCCCCCTCACTGTATTCTCCTGCTTCAGTGCCTTCAGATTCTCACCTATTTCGGTTACTGTCCAAAAGTCTGCGAGGCGTTTCCTTCACCAATGACCTGGAGTTGCAAACGTGGCTCGATGAATTCTTCGAGTCAAGATCCAGTGATTTCTACCTTGAAGCTAGCGAGACGTTGGCAAGAAGTCGTAAATAACGAAAGAGAAAATACTATGACTGGTTTGATAAAATTGTTGATGAATTAAATAGTATTAAATTAAATAGAAAAAAAAACGTATTTATCCGACAATCCACTATAGGAAACAAAGAAAATACCTTAAAATTTGGACATTCCGATGAAGAATACACAATTCTGTGAGAAACAGACATGGCTCCTTTTCATTTGTAATGAACCACTGCCAATCGATGAATGCAGACGACTACATTTCAAAGAGAGGAGAACGCATGCCACGGACGTTTTCATGTTTCTGGCTCTGTGTGTGTGTGTGTGTGTGTGTGTGTTTAGAGCTGTCATAAAATAGTTTCCCTACCATCATAACAGACACTTATTGTCCTTGAGTGTAGGCCATAAAAATCTGTGATCTAAATTAATTTACGCGTTTAAACAGTATTTAATGAGGAAATCATTAAAATTTTGACGTCTTAAGTTTTATTAGCGATATTAAAACACCCACTCTCTCACGCACCTCCAACCCCAACATACATACATACATACATACATACATACATACATACACAGAAGGAATGATTATGTGGACAGGAGATTGAACTGAAGATTTTAGAATACGTTGGTTAATAAGTCCGGTTCACACTCCTCCACGGTCTTTTGAGCAGGAGTAGAGGTTTATCCCTTATTTCCTGTTTACGATTGGGTTTCCGGTTCCTTCTAAAGTATACTTCAACTCTATACTTCTAATGTCTCCACCTAAACTCTGAAATGTTATTTATTTTCTTCCATCAGTTAGAGTAGATAGGTTTTTTGAACAGGAGTAGAGGTTTATCCCTTGTTTCCTGTTTAGGATCGTGTTACCGGTTCCTTCTAGCGTCTCCACCTAAACGCAGAAATTTTATTTACTATGTTTTTTTCTTTCCCCTATAGGTGTAGACAGGTTCGCCTATCGCCCAGTTCACCCTCCTCCTCTGTCTTTTGAACAGCAGGAGAGGTTTATCCCTTGTTTCCTGTTTAGAATTGGGTTCCCGGTTGCTTCAAAATTCTATTACGACTCTATACATTTGAAAGTTTATTTACTATTTATTTGTCCTCAACAGGAGTAGATAGGTTCGCCTATCTTCCAGTTAACACTCCTTCCCAGTCATTTGAACAGGAGTAGAGGTTTATCCCTTGTTTTCTGTTTAGGATTGGGTTTCCGGTTCCTTCAAACGAAAGTCTTTTCATTATCTTTCATGTCCAGTAGTCTCCTTATGTCTTCAAGACATTATGACCTTGCGTGGGGTTAATATTTTTATTTTTTTTAAATGTGCATATTTTTCAGTATTTACAAATTTTTCCTCCAAAATTTATTTTATGTACACATCTAAATACAATCTTTTGCTTTATTATAATTATTATTTCAGATCAGTTTTTAAAAATGACTTTGAGGGATGAAACCTGTAGATCAATGAATGCCAAATGTTTCCTCATAAGGAAACAGTTAATATTATGATGATCATCATTATTAGAAAGACTCGTGAAAATTTCATGTTGTGAATTTTCTGATGAATGATAATTCTTCAGTTTGTCATTCAATAAGTTCATGGTGAGTTCCATGACAATAAAACATCCCTAGAAATTCTATCAATACATGCTGCTCTGCTTTAAAATGGTTCAAATGTTAGTTCAATGACAGTTTGATATCATCTATGATTTGAGTTTGGTCTGAAACCATTCAAACTGGTTTGTAAAGCACCAAGTTAGATGATTTGGGGTGCCATAACGAAGTCTGAAACAACTGGACTCTTCTTGCCCCCTGGAACAATGATGAATGGTCCAAGTTATGTGAAACTGCTACAGGATAATTCAGACCATGAAGCCCTCTCTAAGCTAGATGATTCTGGGGTGCCATAACTAAGTCTAGAATAGCTGGACTCTTCTTGCCTCAAGGAACAATGATGAATGGTGCAAGATATGTGGAACTATGATGCAATAGCTTTTTATTATTCCATCAGCCATTATTCAAATGTGATTTATGGTCGAAAAATCTTTATCATTACTATGTATTTGTGTAGTGAATCAGGCTTAGAATATGGGCAAACTAATCCTCACTTTCACCTGCATGAACGGCCCTAATTGTGGCTCTATGAGGGCTATTCTGA